TGATGCGAATTTTGCCAATTTCTTCTTAAAAACTAAAGCTAAAAACAAGTGCTACTGCTGTAAAGTTCTCAAATGGTCATATTAAGGGCTACGCATAAATAAAAGTGATTTGTAGCGGTAAAATAAAAGCAAAATTCGTTGCGACACTTCAAAATCGACCCTGTCTAGTACATTGATGCAACTTTTCATAGCAGTTTGAATCCATGTGTGCATACACCGCCTTGAAGACAGACCGGCTATGTAAGGTAGTTGAACTGAGTATGCAGTGTTGTGGACAAATTCTTTAGGATTTATTTGAGACTTTAAACTACCTTACATAGCCGGTCTGTCCCTTTAAATACTAGGCTAGTTAAAATTGCATCGGCACTCCCTTTAATGCTGTGAAAGTTTGTTTTAAAATGTTTAGTTAGATCCAAATAGAAATTCCCTATTGACGGCTCAAACATTAATTCTCTCAAAAGGAATTCAGAATTTTAAATAAAATCAGAGGCAAAAGGAAAGAAGATTTATGAAGTTGGTGGGGGGGGGGGGTGAACAGAAAAAGAGAGTCGATTAATATAAGATCAGGGTAAAATGTTGCAAAGAAAGTAAAGTTGGGGGTTTACGGAATAATGAGAGAAATTACGTTTCCCTCTAACTGTAGGACATATGATGTGTAGGACAAATAACATGGCGCCGAAGAAAAAGAAAGAAAATGTGGTTGAAAGAAACTATGGAAGAAAGGAACCACGGAAGAAAGAAACCATGGAAGAAAGGAACTATGGAAGAAAGAAAATGTGGTTGAAAGAAACTATGGAAGAAAGGAACCATGGAAGAAAGGAACCATGGAAGAAAGGAACTATGGAAGAAAGGAACTATGGAAGAAAGGAACCATGGAAGAAAGAAACCTGAAAGGTAGGAAGATTAAAAAGAAAACGGTTGAAAGGAAAAATGAATGGGATTGAAAGGTTAAAAGGAAGAAAGAAGATGCAAGTGAAGGCTAGGACTGGACACGGTAATACTTTTTTTAATCCGTTCGTAAACAAATAATCAGATCAAAGTAGCGTGTTGGTCATTCATTATGTTACCGCTTGTTTTTAACGGGATCAGTAAGAGCCATTTCAAGTGACCTTAAATTTAAAGTCGGCAATGCCCGATACACAACAGTACCCTTGAAAACTTTGTCTGATCAAGTATGAATTAGATATTAATGTTTAAAATTTAAAAAACTAATTATTTTCAATCTTGATTTCTAAGTAAATTGCAATTCTACTACAGGAAAACATATAGGAATTCTACTACAGGAAAACATATAGAATTATCAGATTTAATCATAAATTATAAATATAACATTATCTTCAACATTATTGATTAAATAAATGTTTCAAGGGTTCCGTTTAAATCGGGCTTCGACATCTTTGCATGGGTTTCACTTGAAATTACGCGAACAGTCACTTTAACTTTAAAAACTTAACGTTTAGTTGTAATAAACCCCTTATTTTTTAGAAAGTTTATTAAATGTTTCCTTTACAACAATTGGATGCTATTATATAATCAGCTGAAAACTTTAGAATGGTGGATATTGAGATTAATGCTTGATCCTCTCTTTTTCTCAAAATCAAGACTAACCTAATCTTGTGCTTGTATTCTGAAAAGTGTATAAAATTCAACCAATCAGAGTCGCGTATATGAAGCCGGTAAATTTGAAATTTTTGCGCGCCATTTAAAATTTTAAAGAAACGGAGGGACTCTCTAATTTAGTAAAACTGGTTTTTAATTTTTCTCTACTGTATCCAAGAAAGAACGGGTTAAGAAGAAAATCAAAAGTGTGTCCATTGGATACTCAGATTAAGTAATCGGGATTAAGGATATCTCATTCTAAAGTTTTCAGCTCATGGTGAAAAATTTAGAAATTCTAAATCTACTGATAAGAAAACTATATAAAGGAATTTAATGGTATTAAATGTATGGCGTGATCTTGAGCAATTTAAACAAACGGCCCAGGTATTGGGAAACAATTTAAAGGGACTGTAATTGTAATTTCTAGCGACCTTTCACTGGGATTTAAATTTGCCAATTACTTCTTAAAAACCAAAGCTAACAACAAGTGCTTTACCGTGCTAAAATGTACACGTAAAGGGCTACAGAAAAGCAAAAGTAAGTAAGAGTGGTAAAAATCCAAGCCCAAAGCGTAGCGACACTTCAAAGTTGACCCTATCTTAAAAATTGTCTCAGCAAAAATGATTGAGTTATTCCTTTTTTTCATCGTAAGGTTGATCATTTTAAATTCAAATTTTAATTTAAATGTATTGCAGAGACGATGAAGGAAATCAACAGAATTAATTGCTTTAAAGTACAAAATAACGACAATATTTTCCTAATTCTCAATCCAATAAAAAGTTTAAAGAATACCGTTGTGACTCGGGCATGTAAGTAAACCGCTTAGTTAAGGACAACTTGAAAGTAAATTCCTAAAGTACATTAAACAAAGGACACTGAAAGTACATTTTTTAAACAGAAATAATCAGTGTACTGCAAATTATTCACATTTTTTAAACAGAAATAATCAGTGTACTGCAAATTATTCACATTTTTAAACAGAAATAATCAGTGTACTGCAATTTGATCTGATAAGGAGAAAAATGTAGGACTTTATTGCTTTTAATTTATGACGTAATTTGTTGTGGAAAATATTTACAAATTGTCAACATTAAAAATGGAAAAATTGTGCTTTAAATATTTGTGAGATAATTATTTTAGTTAACATTCACTTTTCAAACATTTTAGGTAACATTCACATTTTAACATTTTAGTTAACATTCATTTTATAAGGTTTTATATCATGAAAGTAGAACTCTCTAATCCTATTTTCTTCTTTAGAAATCTCGTATGGTTAAATAATAAAGTTGAATTAAAACAGATGAATATATTTTTTTTACTTAAAAGTGTACTTCAGTTTCTGGAAGGAATATAAACAAACTTATACGGGCCTGATCAGTAGAGATGGGCATCTTTTTTCTCAACTAAACATTCCTAGTGAACTTTGGTGTAGTTCAAAAAAAGCGATGGACGAACGATTTGGATCGTTCAGAGAAAAGAAAAACGAACGAAAATCTAATATTTCCAAAAGAATTTGAAAAAACCTATCGTTTTTAAAAACTATCTTATTGAACGAACAATTTTAATTAACGATGGTTCAAGTGAGAAAACCGCCATAATTCAGATGGAAAATGAACGATATTCTTGATACGAACGAAAACAATTTTTATTGAACGATTGAAAAAAACCCGAACGAAATGGGTCTGGCACAAACGATAAACGAACGAAATACTATCTAGATATAATCAAACAATCCCATTGATGAACCATCTTAGCAAACTCATTTAATGTTAATAAATTGTACAAATTAGTGTACACTGTACATACAGGGTTACCCACAAAGGATGAGACTTCAAATCAGTTGTTTATTTTGTTTTCCTACATTCAGGGTTCCTTGTAGGTGATTGATCATTTACTAAACGATTAAGATAGTCAATGAAATACAGAAACCATAAATCAAGCTTCAAATCGTCATATTTTTAGAGTTTTGGGTCGTCTTTACAGTCTCATCTTTACAGTCATGTGAGTACCCTGTATTTACATACATTGATACTTGATATGCACACACGTATTAACAAAATGAAGTATTTTAAACAACTTTTTTAAAGATATGAGTTAAATTTTAAAAGAAAATTCTGAAATAGGAAGACGACTTTTAGAATCAAATTATAACTTTAAATATTCCAATGAGTATGAGACACAGCAATTGTGCAGTGAAAACAGGCCCTTTTCACTAAATTAGTGATTTAATAAGTGTTTAGTAAAACTATTTCCTTTGTAACAACATCAAATAAACAGAAGTATTGCTAGTATGTCGTCTTCCTATTCCCATGGTTTTCTGGTTATCACTTAAAGTATTTCCATTCAATTCAAGCCAATTTAAGCAGTGTATTTATGATTTGTTTAATTTCGACTCTTTGAGGTTTTCTTTAACAAGGTAAACCAAGCATGTTAGCAATTTTATATTTTTAACAATTTTGTAAATAGTTTTAGTTAATGTTTAGTTAATGTTTTGTTATATATACCAAATATAGTTTTAGTTAATGTTTATCTTAAAATTGTCAGTCTGATGTAACTTGCTATCTTAACTTTAAAAAATTGACAAAATTGTAAATCATACATTTAACTTACAGGGTGTCCCACGAAACATGACAGTTGGTAAATAGTTTTGAATGTCGTCTTCCATACTTTGTATTAGAAATTAAAGGCTGTTTGCAGTTTATTTCGTTTTAAAAATGTTTTGCACAAATATATTTTACTTTGAACTTAATTTTACGGTAATATGACTCCTTTATGCTACTTTTATTATTGTCTTTGGTATTAAACAACTTAACAAATTGTGAAAGAAGACATTCTAAACTATTTACCAACTGTCATGTTTCGTGGGACACCCTGTACCTTGTTTTTTATCATGTTTAATTCTCATAAGTGATATGGGAAATAAATATTTGAGCTATCATTATCTGTAGCTTTTTTTATTATCTTCTAATAGCTACAGATTATATATCTAGCTACTATCTATAAATATATATAATACCTAACTAAATAGCTAAATAGAAAATATCTAGCTACTAGCTATATAGATAATATCTAGCAACTAGCTATATAGATAATATCTAGCTACTAGCTATATATATCTAGCTACTAGCTGTATAGATAATATCTAGCTACTAGCTATATAGATAATATCTAGCTACTAGTTATATAGATAATATCTTGCTATTTGGTACAGTTTACTCCAGAGATTTTGAGCCATCGTAAGAGTTTATCGTAAGTGTTTTATACTATTATACGTAAATCTCAGTATTTTCAATAATAAATAAATAGCCATGAATATGCAGGAACAGTTTTAAAAAGCTCCATATAATCATAATTAAAATACTAAATATCTGCAGCATTCCATTATCAGAAAGTTAAGAACACGACATTTCATAAATTCTTCCGATGTCTCTTTATTTTTAAACTAGCTAATAGATATATATCTAGCTAGTAGCTGTATATATCTAGCTACTAGCTGTATATATCTAGCTACTAGCTGTATATATCTAGCTAGTAGCTATAGAAGACATGATATCACTGAAAGCCAACCAATAAGTAATGTTAAGTAGAATGAATGTGCAGGGGAAAACAATTCTGGAGACTCGATCCTGAAAAAAAAATAAGATCAATTTATACAAAATGAAAAAAATCAGAATATACATTCTAATACCATGAATGACTAAATCTCTTGAAAAATGTACGCCGAAACAACCATATATAAAGATAGATTGCGCATAAGACGACATTTTTCATCTTGAAAGATATAAATGTACAGAGATGTTTTAAAGATATTCCTATTATATAGATTAACTAGGTCAGTTGTGAACATTGGCTGTTCTTATGTCATTGAGTACTTGTGGTGTACATGAGTTCTGTAGAGAGAAATTTAAGTTAGTTTAGTCCTTCTCATGTCCTTCTTCAGTTCTCGACAATATGATATATATTGCTCAGTGAAATAAAATTCACTTCTGAGTGGTTTAATAATTATGAAATCCATTAAAACACCACCCCGCTTATCATTGAAGTACACTTTGACCCCCTAGAAGTATGAGTTCGCGGACTGCACAATTCTTGTTGATTTTGCGTACATAAGCTATCTATGTTTATTTATTCATCTATGGAAACAACTTTGTACTTTTTTGACTATCATACAATGAACCATAATTGATATAACAGAAAAAAATTTTTTGTTTAGAGCAAACTTAAAACAATTTACAGTAAATTACATATAAAAGGCATCTTTCTTTTTTGCTATCCCTGTTTTTGATTTTTTCCGTCTGTTTCTCTTTTCTTGTTTTTTTCTTCTTTTTTACTGATTTGATTTACTACAGTGAGAACTTGAAAACTCTGGAATAGAAATTCGACTTTTAGACTCAAGTTATGACTTTGAATAGTCCAATGAACATGAAACCCATCAATTGTGCAGTGTAAACAGACAAAATTCACTTAATAAGTGATTTATTAAAATACCAGTAAAGCTATTTGTTTTATAACAACATCAAATACACTTAAATATTGCTTAATTTTTTAGAAAATCCATATTCTTTGTAATTGTAGGTTGGATTTATATTTATTAAAAACCTTAGATTAATAACAATACACTAGATGTCGTCTTTTCGTGTTTTAGGGGGTTTTCGTTCACACTAACCCTGAGGTAGAAGCCTAAAGGAGTTACGCGCATGCCGCGTTGAATTACAAGACAGAGAGAGGGGATGCGCGTAACTCCTTTGGGCTTCTACCTCAGGGTTATTGTGAACGAAAACCCCTAAAACACGAAAAGACGACATCTAGTGTTTTATCTGTATTGTTATTAATCTATGTCAAAAAAGTTACTCAAGAGTCACGAAATACAGAAAATAAACACCTGGCACTAAAGGGCCATAGACAGAAGAATAGAATATATATTAGAGTGGAATTTACTAGACAAAAGTGTAAAACGGCCATTTTGTTATACTGTTTCCATACTGCAGGTGTACTTCACATATTTATGCTATATAACCTTTTGGGCCCTGGAACATCATTTTATAGAAAATCTAAAATTAATGTTAAAAGAAAACCAAATTATGAAATAGGCTGGTTTCATAATTGGCCAATGAACATTTCACATAGACTCTATGCCTTCCACTTTACAAACGATGATTTTCCGTTATAACTATAAATCAAATAATGTTTTTTATTCACCTAATTCATTATAAAGTTTATTTAACAGTTTAAAAAATTCGAAACTGAAATGAATAGTCTAGGGAACATACAGTATTAATGTACTCTACTGCATATAATTTGTGAACATTTACATGATTTGTACACTTTAAACTCCCTTTCAGGCTGAAAGGGACTGAAAAAATTCATACCGAAAGATTCTTTAAATTCCCCTCTAATATATATTCTATTCTCTATGGCCATAGAGTCAAGGTATTGAGAATGGAGATACATGTTTATTGTTTAATATTCATTACTAATAAATATTAAAGATGTTCAAATTGTTAAGATATAAATACTTACAATACAAATTGCCTTTTCTCTTCTTTTTTTCATTTCTTCCTTAGGCTCTAACTTCTTCTTCTTTCCGCTTGGTTCTAAGCCAAGAATCTAAAGAGAGAAAAATAGTTTTCACAGAAGTTTTAAAATATAGAAGTAAACATTTGATTTTACAACTGGGTGTACTGTGTAGGGCTGGGCTTCGTTCCTGGGGAACGATCGTTCTTTCATGGGAACGAACGAAACGGAACGAACGATTTAAAAAGTTGCAACGCGTCCAGCCCTAGTACTGTGTCTTTCTGAATGTAACATCGTCAATCTATTTCTTGTAAATCTACAGTTGGGCCTTTAAAACATAAAGTTAACATTGGATGTCGTCTTCTTATTCTGCAATTTCATGTGCCTCGCTGTTTGACTATTTTTGCAATGCTATTTTCGTTTTTTGTTGTTGCGAGAGTTTGAATTTTTGAATTGATATTGTATGTTTGCAAGTTTGTGTGCAAAATAATGGATCATATATCAGTTTCTTCTTCTCAAATGCACTTTATCAACCAATTGATCCAATAAGGTGCTAGATTTATTGGACATTGCCCAGTTGTGTTTCTTTACCTCCAACTCAGGTTCTATTGGTTTCAAATATCTATATTCAATATATCAAATATCTATATTTATTATATCAAATATCTATATTTATTATTAAAAATAATTAGGTCTGGGTTT